CAAAGGAACAGAGTTTTAAAATTCTACATCGAAAAGAACCGATGGATACGTGTTTCATGACATGAACGAGTTACTATGGTCCTAAGTCAACCTCTCTTACCGGTTCTAGTCCTACAGGTTTCCACTGAAGTTTCTTAAGTAGCCCTTGAAGAGTTCATTTATTCTCTTCGTTTTCAAAGATATACTGACTGTAGGTATCTTAGATATGAAATGCACGAAATGCATTAGTTATTGCTAACCATATACATCTTTGGGGTGCATATGGATATTCATTCCTATCATCAGCAAGAACAAGCTTGTGATATGGACGTAGATGATATATTAGCCTATATGTTCAGTCCTATCTGACTATGTCAATAACATGTGCTGCTTTCATCAAGAAAATATCGAGCTCATAAATTTTCTATACGCTTAATGACGATTGATTTTGAACTTACCCAGGAGGCTTGCCATATTCTGTTACTAGCTCGCCAAACCGATAATATGAAAGCTTGTACCTGGTGACCAAGTAAAAGGTGTAAGTGTAACATAGAACACAAAATCCACATTACCTCGTATAAGAAGATATGAAATGTAGCAATACAAATGCACGTAAATCGTATTCCAATGCTAAGGAACTTACATAAGACAATTCAACATCTTGGGAGCTGCCCCTTTGTCGACTCGATATTCTCCATTTACCAGATAATCAGGTTCTTTAATTACAGGGAAAACACCACCTCCAATTCTCACCATCCACAAAAATCTAGCATGACATGACGCACAATTTTCGTCAAATAAGATAAATAATATGACACATGATGCAATCTGAAAATATGTATTGAATAGGCAAGATTACTTTATTCAAAGAAACAAATTCTTACTTGTTAATATCATCAGATGAATAGCCAGTCACACCACCAAAGACAACTAGCACATAATCCACATCGAGTGATCTCATTATTTCGTAAGCCTCATCTTCATACGAAGACATTGCACGTCCAACAGTAGCGATGTGTGTGTTATTCCAGGTATTGTTGTCGACAATGACAGTTCTGTTTCCCATTGCTGTGATTTGGTACCCATAATCCCACCATGACATCACCTTGGCATCTTGAGGAGTATTCTGTCTGAGCCAAAAGTATGCCTCACGGTAGTCATCAAAGATAACCCTGTTACCATGGGCGCCCCGTGCAGACAAGACAATTGATGGAGATGAATAAGCTTCTGAGGTGACCCATGTACAATGGGTTGCATACCTTGAAAGCAAGTAAAAAGCACCAAAGAGCAGCGCAATAGCACCATTCCTTTGGAAAGGCTGGGATTGATCAAGAGATGCCTGTTGGTTGCATGGGAGGGGGAGAGAAGAATTAATCCAGCTCAAGAAAAAATATGATCCCTTTTCAAGTATATATAGAAACAATCATATAATTTTAAGTGCATAAACAACCAGAATGAAGAGAGTTCATCTTTTGACATATTAGTGCAACTCGAAATGATTCATTAAGACAAATGAAGATTAGGTGGGATTATAAAAAATGTACAAACGACGATGTTGAGCCGACATAAAAGGCAGATAAACAGAGCTAGACTTACCTTAGAGGAACTCTTCACATTGCTGGCTCCTTTGCTAGAACTAATCTGAGCAACCTTCGGTTTCGCCCTCGCTAACTGGGTCAAGTTCTTTATTGTAGCAGAGACAGCTATAGCACTGATAAGACATACTGCAGGCGTAGCAACAAGAATTAACCTGACCATAACTCCGGCAAAGTACATGCTAGTAAGACCATACATGACGATGAAAATTGTTGCATCGGACAAGCGCTTGAAGCAAAAATAGAGACCAGCTGGGAAAAGGAAAAGCAAAATGTGGAAGTCAAACATGAAAGATGACCAAGCTGTGGGTTGATGCTCAGAAACAGATGCTATTATAGGTATGTGATCTTTTGCATATGTTGGATCCAAAAGAGAATAGAACCGGCCAGCCCATGGGGATATATACCCCGAGGCAGTGCCAACTCCCAAAGCAATGGTACCCACCGCAACTGCACTGGTCACAGTGATCTTCAAGAAGGATTGAAACAATTTAATATCGCTCAGCATGTACTTCACCCAGTCCAAGAAGTAAAAGACCTGTAATGGAGGCCGATTAGTTCAATGAATAAAATAGAATACATAAAGCTTTCTCTCTTCACTTCCCAGATCCCACCACACCACGGTAGCTACAGACCATTATTTCATGTGGGCAAAAAATGTACAGTGTACAACGTAAGACAAACAAAGCTAAAGCAAACTGCCCAAGCCCACTGCTAGCAGATACTGTCCTCTTTGAGCTTCTTTTCAAGGTTTTTTTAAAATGCGTATTAGGGAGAGGTTTTCACACCCTTATAAGGAATGTTTCGTTCCCCTCTCCAACTTATGTGGGATCTAACAATTCACCCACTTGGGGGCCTAGCGTCCTCGCTGACATACCGCTTGGTATCTGGCTCTCTAATACCATTTGTAATCGGCCAAAGCGGACAATATCTGCTAGGGAGGGCTTGAAAAACTAAAGTTTTTTTTTTTTTTTTTTAATGTGGTAACTGAATAATAAACTACAGACATACAACACCTTTTTACATTTGTGATTTTATGCCCCATCTCAACCCATGTGCAGATTATACGTGCCCCCAATGCCATAATTCTAGACAGTTCAAGGATTTTTACGTATAAAGCTCTCCACCCAAGAACATTATTACCAAGTGGAAAGCACCCAATCAATGGGGCCACTCCTTGGGTAAAAACATAAATACTTTACATTGAAACGTTTCTTTTCCTACCCTTGCAATCAATGTAATGACATGACAAGTAAAATTTTGCCTTCTCCCAAGATTATGCCACACTTCATCATATGACGAACAGAATCAACAAAAGAGAATAACAAAATCAACAAAAGAGATAATATAGAATTACAACCTGAATCAAAAAGAAGACGCCCATCGCAGCCATATGCTCCCCAGATTGAACATGCTGAAAACCAACAAAACGAATCTGCATGGCAAGCAACATTCCCAAGATGTACATACAATTATACGCCACATATAATCGCATTGAGTATCTGCCCGTTATCAGAAGAACCAGCACATAAAGTGGAATCAAGTTAATTATAAACACATAGCCACCCCACGCTGAAACCATGTAAAAGTACCCAAAAGCCGAGGCTAGAGCCCAAGCAACAGATCCAGTATTTACCGCCTTCACGAATAGATAGAAAGTCAATAACAACGCAAAAATGGCGACACCTTCATTATCGTACGATCCCGCAACAGATCTCGAAATGTAGCCTGGACAAATTGCAATCAAAGCGGCTGCAACAAGTCCAGCACCCGAGTCCCAGATTTCTTTACCGAAAAAGTACGCAACCAATGTAGTATTTGACGCGAAAAATGGAGCCGTCAATACACAGACCTCACGGATATGCACGGCGAACTTCAGAAACCGTAGTCCCCAATAGATAATAGCGGCCGTGACCATAAGTCCAGGATAGAGCGTACCTCCAATGATTCGACCGAGAGGATACCAACTCTCGGAATCAAACCAATTCCAGAATTCGTAAAAGCCCTTCTGCGTGAGGAAGAGCGTAGTTCGGTAATTGAAGTATGGATCAAACTCATGGATCATCGATTCATATCGCAGAACACTGAAAAGCCTAGTAATGAAGGCCAAAACATAAACGAGGCAAAGGATCGAGACGCGGATCAGAAGCTCTTGTTGCTTGGTCTTAAGCTTAAACGATTTGAAAGACAAAATGTTGAACAGATCAGATTTAGCATTCGGCGCCATGGTTGCAGAGTTGGTCGAGTTATTCGATCCAGATTTAACAGAACCATTGACAGGATCGGTCTTCCCAACCATGATTGAAGAAATTAAAGGAAATGTAATAATTTAAAATCGCGATAAGGAAATTGAAATTCGGGTCAACGCTGCGAAATTGCCATGGAAGGGTTTGGAAATGGAGAAATGGAGCAAAACCCTAGAATTAAACAAGAGAGAGGAAGGAGAATAAAAGGCAGAGCTGAATCTAGAGACTGATACTTAAAAGCGCAGAGGAGAAGAACTACACTGAATCTGGTTTTGTTCCAGAGGAGGACGAGTTGGCGATACTATCACTGGGTTCTGAATTTACCTATTTGGGCTTCATATTGGGCTTTTGAGAATTTCTGGGCTTCATATTGGGCTTGGAGAATGTCTGGGCTTCATATTGGGCTTGGGCATTCAGATATCTTTGCACCAATCCATTTTAAGATGTCTACGTCATTTACCCTCTTAGTTCTCAAATGGGTTATTACCTTACCTCGATTGGCCCAACGAAAGAACGCTATAAAAGAATGACTCAAGATTTTCACTTGAGGCGGATTAGGGAAGTGAGCTTCATTCAATGGAATGCTTTGTTTTGTTGGTTCAGAGGGTCCGATTGTTTCGATTTAGTGTGTAGGGAGGCAGCCTTTGTTGTTGGTGTGAATAATTATCGTTCTTTTGAATATTTAATGAATGTCTTTTTGTTTTTTTAATCATTTCCTCGAATGAAAGCTTATCTATTCTAGCTTAGATTAAGATCACAAGGGTACCAAGAAACAACTCGTACCAAAACCAATGAAAAGTAAGTAGATAATCTTATGTATTTGTATGGAAGGGAAAAAAAAGTGAATTTTGGTAAGTTTTAATCAATTTAGTGAATTTATAAGATCCTTAATTTGTCCCTAATCGTTATACCATGTTGCGATGTTGGATCAAGTTTTTACCCTTTATCATTCAACATAACAAGAGAAAAAATGCGCATGCGCAACATTCGTTTCTAGATACTCCTAATATCATTAACCTATTTTACGATATGGTGTACCGAGAAGCCTTCAAATTTGAAACGATATCACGATTGTACCAAACCAAGATTCTATTCATAGGCTTCATTTAAGTAAGATTTAAACACTTGGTAGTAAAACTTGACGAATTTTGTTTAAAACGATATAATGGGAGGCAAATGATGATGGCAGTAATAACAACTTGATATAAAACAGATAATTGAATCAAACATAAAAGTATCTCCATGCGAGTTTTAAAATGAATCTCAGCAGTAAGAGGCTGAAACATTGAATGCCTCAAAAAATATCTTCATATGAAAAGTTGGGTGTACCTTATTGAAGATTTTACACCATTTTCTTCAGGTGGAAGCAGGAACTCCAAATTTTGTGCAAAATGGAACGAACTACGAAACTCTGAAATATGAGCTTTTGATTTAACTGACAAGGCCTCTCTGTTTGAAGACGTCAAGCATTGCAACGCCAATTTTCGCAGGCGACTCCACCACTGTTACTCCAGCTTCTCGCAGTGTCTTGATTTTGTCTTGGGCGGTACCTTTTCCACCCGAAACAATCGCTGCAAAATCCAAAAGTCTCTATTATCGACGCGATATATGCAGAAATGATGGACACGCATATAAATATGTTTCTCTTTTCGGGGATGCAGGCTGAGGACCGATATCTTCTCATTGTTCACTAAGAATTAAAAGGGGTACACGATATATGTGAAATCCTACATCGGTTGAGGAGGTGAACTAAACATTTCTCATAAGAGTGTGGAAACCTATCCTTGGCATACACGTTTTAAAACCTTGAGGGGAAGCCCAAAAGGGAAAGCCCAAAGAGAACAATATCTACTAGTAGTGGACTTGAACTGATACAAATGGTATTAGAGACAGTTATTGGGCGGTGTGCCAACGAGGACGCTGAGCCCTCTTAGGGTGTGAAAACCTCTCCCTAGCAGACGCGTTTTGAAAAACATCGAGGGGGAACGGTTCTAACTCAAAGGTGGAGGTTAGAAACTAATCAAACACTAATATAAAGGGAAATAATCAATGTAAAATTTTACATACCACCAGCATGACCCATGCGACGGCCTGGGGGAGCAGTAAGGCCAGCAATGAAGCCAACGATAGGCTTCTCAGTCCCACTTTCCTGTTATAACACAATAAACTCCTCAGAACTTGAAATTACAGTGCAGTATTTAATAACACATGGGTCAACAAGTCTAATTCATTTGAACAATCCATTACAAAGACCACATTAGTTCTTCCAAGCGACAGAGATAAAGCTATATAATTCAAAAGTCGTAGCGAAAACTACACCCTTGAAATGGAAATTTAGTGCATCAAAGAATATTTGGAAAAAAGAGTATACAAATTTTTTCGACATTATTGTTTACCAAGCTATATCTTGGTGTAAACTATCTAATATTTTTACTTCCTATAGTTATACCTCCCTCGTTGCAAATTGGGAAGGTCATTTGTAAACATCATGGATATTACATCCATTTTGAAAATTTCAATTATCAATGAAATTGTCTCTTATAAAAAAAAAAAAAAAAAAAAAAAACTACAACCTTAGGAGTGGAAATTTAGTACATATATTAGAGAATCTTAGGAAGCCCATGCAAATATTATCTGTTTCAAAACTTCCTCCTAAGAGTCAATGAAAGTCTTTTTCTTAAAGCAATTAACCAGTAGCACTAAAAATGTGCAATAATGTCATGCGTGTAGGATTGTCACAGAAAACTTAAATGTGCAATAAAATATGAATATAACGGTTCAGAAGAACATTATAAAGTAAAATATGTGAAGGGGAATGAATAAATCTAGAGCTAATCAATAAAAGCAGCAATGAACTTCCAAGTTTTTTGATGATGATGAGATCAAATGAAATATGCTCAGATAGCTATACTTAAAGTAAAATAAAGTAAAAGGACAGAACCTTTATCAAAGCAGCAGCATCCTCTTCCGCAGTCCCACCAATTTCTCCAATTAGAACAATACCTGAATGCGCATGAGGCATCGTGTCAGACTCTAGAGATTACCATACCTTTCTTGTAATTAGTAATATTTACCATAAAAGTTAGAACAAGCGGAGGAGAGAAATAATAACTAAACATGATTCACCAATCCAGCCAATTTATTATCATCCATTCATAATATTTTATACCGTTCGGTCAATTTGCAAACAGACCAATAAACCAAAACATGAATAACCTTCTGTCTGAGGATCAGCAAGGAACTTCTCAATGCAATCAACAAAGTTCGTCCCGTTGAAGGGATCCCCTCCAATACCTACGCACGTGGATTGTCCAAGGCCAACAGCAGTAGTTTGGAAAACCTAAGCATCACATATCATGGGGCATTGAAAGATTAAAAAAAATAGTTAAAAATAAAAATAACGAAAAAACTCGCTCTACTTTCAAGATAGTAACACAGTAAAACTCACCGCTTCATAGGTCAAGGTGCCAGATCGTGATACAATGCCAATGCGCCCAGGTTTGTGGATGTACCCAGGCATAATTCCAATTTTACACTCTCCAGGCTTGATAATACCAGGGCAGTTAGGGCCAATCAACCTAGTTTTAGATTGTTTGTTTAAAGCAGCCTTAACTCTTACCTGAAATTCATACATATTAGATTTGTTTAGCGTTTTGATTAGGAGGTTGAATGAACTAACTCAGACACGGTTTTAATCAGAACAAATAGTCAACACGTACGTAATAGAACTGTTAAAATAATTTTAGCTTGGAGTGCAAAATCTAAACAAGTAAACATTTCAATAGAACTACTTTCAATCACTACTGTAGCTAGTTATCTGGAACAGGGCACGTCCATTCAAGAAACAAAGGGGAGGGCATGATAGGTCCATGGTTTCAATTAGCTCTAAAATATGGTAGTAAATATAGATTATTGTCATATGGTATAATGACTTGTCCTTTTCCATTCCAGCTAACAGAGGCGATAGTAGCGTCTTGTTTCGTCCTTTTTGGCTTATAATCCAATAACAAGCTACTCTTGTAGACTATGTCGAATGCCTTTTGTATAAAAACAAAAGTAAATTTGAATTATAATCATATGATATAGGTGACCCGTCTTCTACCATTCAAGTTAACCAGCCATGATGTAGCTTCTTCTTTGGCTTATAATCCAAGTACAAAATTAGTTTTGTACATCGTTCTTGAATATGGTATCGACGAAATCTACTTTCTGGTCCTGGGGCCTCTTCTTTAACATCTTTTGTGGATTGAGACGCTAGTTGCTATCATAAATGTTCATGCACTAGATCTATCCAAAACCTACCTTTAGTTTCACACTTTAAGACTTTCTTCAATTACCCGTTCCTTTTATTAGTAACTTTCAGGGTTCTTTTTTCCTTCATCTTTTAATTTGCCTCTTTTATCTCACCCTCTGTTGGTTTGGCCATCCCACAAACTTTTCACACATCATAAGCTGTCATTTTCTAGATACAAGCAATTAGTACTTTCACAAATAAAAAGGACAGACACTCTGTAATGAAATGTTCCAAATAGATTGCCAATTCTTCTGTATTGCAAAGCATATGAACCAATCCAGGCAGGCATATGTCAAATTTCACTTACCATATCATGCTGTGGGACCCCTTCCGTTATACAAACTACAAGATCTAGCTCAGCTTCCATCGCCTCCAAGATAGCTGCTGCAGCAAACGGCGGAGGGACATAAATTACTGATGCATTGGCCTTCGTTTCAGCTTTGGCTTCAGCGACTGTGTTAAAAACAGGGAGACCCAAGTGTTCGGTTCCACCCTTCTTGGGCGTTACACCACCGACCTAATTCAACAAATAGCATGGCTTAAGAACTGATGATCTCCACTTTTATCAAAAAACCATTGATGAACAATAAGAAACTGAGGAAAATCAGGAACCAATAAAAGAGAAAACTGAAGGAATGCCAGGCTTTGAAAGTCAGATTATACTGTATAGATGGGCAGATAAAAGAAGAAAAAATTGCAACCTAATTTACATTTAAATAAAGCACTGTTTAGTGCAGATCCCATGAGCTTAAGTACGGAGACAAAAATTGCACATAGGTCACGAGAAACAAGCCAATACTTGCAATTAAGAGGCGACATGGCCCGTCAAAAAGCATTTTTAATGAACTATCGTTCTCTCGGCTCTCGCCTTTAGGTTCCCAAGTTCATTTCTAAACCTGTATAACGAGTAAATTCGCTGTCCGACATAAAGCCAGATCCGTCACATCCAGTGATTTTCTATAGCCAAATTGAATTGCAAATCAAATCTATAGTAGTGTCACACTGTTCTGTTCTATCAGATGATTAAGGATCGTGAGGCAATCATTTCGAAATACCTTCCCATTGCTGGGACGGAAAGCGGGAAATTAATGGAGAGAAAGACTTTCAATAAAGTCTATAAACAGCGGAAATCATTCTAAAAATTTAAAAACGTAAATCTTGAGATTAAAAGGCATCACGCTACACCATGGAACAAGAGAAATACCATTTTCGTGCCATATTCGATTGCCTGCTCAGTGTGGAAGGTACCATTTTTACCAGTGATCCCTTGACATATGACGCGAGTGTTTTTATCTACGAATACCGCCGGCGGTGGTGGCGGTGCAGCTGCGTAATGCCGAATCTGCGACGCCGCCTGCGAAAACAAGGAGGATGATGAAGATGAAGAAGCTTTTCGATTAATGGCCGATCCTATGAGCTTGGCAACGGCTTGACAACCCATCGTGTTACTTCGATTCGATTCTCTGCTGGGCGCAGCCGCCTTGTTCAGAGTATCACGAACTCGGAAATATTTTGCCTTCTCCGCACTCGCCTCCTCTCTCTCGCTCTTTCTTTCCTTTCCCTTTTACTTGTTTCCTTTTCTTTTTCCTTCTTCTCTGCCTCGCTTCCCATCTTTGAATTCCCCCTTTCTAGTTTCTCCACGCTGGTTCGGTTTGGACGGCCGTTCCATCGTTACGGTTTGGGCTTATTATTTTCTGGGCCTTCTGTTTTTTGAGGATTGGGCCTTCTATTTGGGCCCATTCATTCTATTTTGGTCCCGTGGGCTTCAACTCCGCGCTGGTTGGATTTGGATGCCTGTTCCGTCGTTACGGTTTGGGCTTATTGTTTTCTGGGCCTTCTGTTTTTGGATGATTGTGCCTTCTGTTTGGGCCCGTGGCCTTCAATTTTGGGCCGTTGCCTCCCATCTTGGGCCCGTTGCCTTCAATTTTGGGTCCGTGGGCTTCAACTTTGGGCTTCGTTTTATGTCATTTGATATACAACTCTGAAAAACATCCAATTAAAATAATAATACAAAGAATATGGATGATATATGATTCCAATACGTAAGGTCGATGGGTCATCTCAAAAAAAGTAATGTAATAAAGCATTAAGACTGATGGATTCATAATTAGATAAATCTATTCATAGAATGGAACAAAAAAACCAAGAGCCCCAAAACAATAAAAACCAAGAAGATTGATTGAAAAACCCTTTTTAAAAATAATTCAAATTGTTGTTAAAGGAATAGGGGTTGGAAAAACGAAATTTTGAGTAGGGTTGGATTACGAACCATATTCAAGTCAACGACCCAACTAATCTATTTTTCAAGTTTAGTTGAATTGGGTCGAACTCATCCGAATTTTTGGGCTTGAGTTGGATTGTAAATCATATTCAAATCAACAAATTTAACTAACCTATTTTTTTAGATTTAGTTGGTTAGATCGTCCGTTCAAAATTATTTTAGAATGGTTAGGTATTGGCAAAGTTTCAACTCATAGACTGAATTTAATTTATCTAACCCAAGCTATACCAAACAAACATTCAATTTGGCCCATCGAGTCATGAGCATCCTCAATTATTATTGTTAAAATAATGAATAAAAATAGGCCAAGACATTAATTCTAAAAAAACGTTGATGGTAATATTATAATTTTTTAAGGGTTTTAAATAAAGAATGCATATTTTTTTTTAGAATTTAATGAATGATTTTTAACCCAAAAAAAAGAAAAAAAACTAAAACTAAAAGAGGAAAGAAGGCTCGAGGGATCCGAGAATAGACAGTGGGTCTGCAGCCCACTACCATCATCAGAAATGGCGCGAGGATCATCGTCTTCCAAGACGAACAAAGCGAACGCAGAGCTCGAACCGGAGATTGCAGCGCGAAAGCGGCTTAAGAAGCTCGCATTTTCCAATAATCTACTTTCAGGAACTCAGGCAAAGCCCCAGGCATGTCTGTGTCCTTCCGCAGCCGTTCTGAAGCACAATGGCAAAGACATTGTCAAGAAATCTCACCGAAAGAACAGATTCCTCTTCTCGTTTTCAGGCTTGCTCGCCCCCGTCAGTGGAGGCAAGATTGGTGAGCTCAAGGATTTGGGATCCAAGAATCCAATTCTCTACCTCGAATTTCCTCAGGTTTGTCTTGTTTGAATGCTCTTAACGCCTTTATGTTTCTATCTGATTAAAAAGGTTTCTACAGTCTTCTTCGCTTTCTTTTCCATATTGATTTCTAGGGGACGATCTAGATACTGTTATCAAAAGTCTAAAGGGTAAGGATAAGCATTGTAACATGCCCCTGCCATTGCTGACTCAATGGGGCCTATGGAGTGAGATCAAACTCTAGTTGGTAAGGTAAAATTATAATTGGAAATGTAGATATTAAGCAAGAAGGAAACATATTTTTTGGCACAACAAATTATAATCCATAATTTAATCTACTAGATTTGTGAGATTCAAGAGAAGGTGGATTATTGGAAGTTGCAAATCCCAGTCAACAATTTTTTTTATTCCCCAAGCATTTGAAGACCTAAACAAGTGATAAATCTTTTTATTGTTGAATTGAAGCATAATGGGTTTGGAATCTGCTGAGTAATGTCATTCAATTATTGATCAGTGAAGTACATTTGATTAGTCAATACTGCAAAATTGAAGAACAAGCTTTCAACCATGACCTTACATGAACAAGATTTGTTCTATAGGTTGTACAACCATGTCTTCGAGTTCTAGAGAGACCACATGATTATTTTGTTTCATGTAAATAAAATTAATTGGTTACTTTGAAGTTTGTATTTTAACGATAAGTCGTGATTAATATCACATTATCTATCAGTCGCTCTATAATTATCAGTATTCAATAAAAATAATTTACAATCTAATTAATCATTGTTTTACTTAACTCATATCTCCAATGATATTTTTTCTTCTTGTGTATCAGTTTGATCTTAAAAAGAGAAAATGAGATGCTGGGCTCAGCATTTGAGTCCTAGTTAAACTCATTTGACCATTATAGCTTTAAACCGAGTAAATTTATGATGGTTGTTGTTGTTATTCGCTTATTATTTACTTTCGCCTTATTTTGAGGTGTAAATTGCTTTCCTCTACTTTCCGCCAATATCCATTGATTTATTTCTTGAATGCTGATGTAGATTTTATGTGGTCATTAAGAATCAAGTGGTGGAGTCGTTCTGACTTCTATTTCTTTTGCTTTTCAGGGACGTATGAAGTTGTTTGGAACTATAATGTATCCGAAGAACAGATATTTGACTTTGCAGTTTTCTAGAGGAGGAAAGAATGTGACATGTGAAGATTATTTTGATAATATGGTTAGTCACTATAAAAAAATATAAAAAAAATCCCCAGAAAAAAATTCACTGTCAAATGTCTAGTTTAACACTGTTCTGGTGTAAACACTACCTTTTCTTGGTATTTAAAGAAGCCTTCTTTTCTCTGACTGCAGATTGTCTTTTCTGATGCATGGTGGATTGGAACAAAAGATGAAAATTGGGAGGAGGCTCGTCTCGATTTTCCGAAAGAATTGTCTATGGTAAGTTTTTGGATAATTTTTAGGTTCTTAAAGTGCAATCTCCTTATAGTTTCTCGAGTACTCCTACTATTCCGGTGTAAAATTATTGCAAGGATCTCTATTGGGTAAAATTTAACCACAGCAAAGGACCAAATTTTGGTATCACAATCTCGATTCTCAAGATCATTTATGGAGCAGAAGAGTGGAAATGCTTCCTCATCTGAGGGTCACAGAATAATTTTATGCTGTGAGAGGACAATAATTTTTGTTGTCTAAACTTTTTAATTTCCTTGATTGACCATTTAGCAAAAAAGTAAGAAACTTAACTGGGCAGAGTCCTTACTGTTATAAACAGTCGCTGTTTCATAAAGTTCATGGTTTTTAACTTGTAACTCTACTTGGGACCTCCATGAAGCTGATTTTATTGTTTTAAGAAACCTAATTTACTATTTCTAATTTTCTTATTATGTTTTTATATTGAAGTTATCCGTTGGGCTGGTCAATATCATTGCTTAGATTACTGTTTGGTCCATATTTGTGTACTTGTTCTTCCAGTCCTGTGGATTTTTCTTATTATATATATTTTTCCTTTAGTCCGCTTTTACCACTTGTAATTAGGTAGAATAATTGTATATATTCTAGTGCCATATCTTTCTATGGAGGATTATATATGTAACGGCTCAAGCCCACCGCTAGTAGATATTATCCTCTTCGGGCTTTCCCTTTCGGGCTTCCCCTCAAAGCTTTAAAACGCGTCTTTCAGAGTTACATAGCGGAAACGGTGCTCATCCAGATACTGTCATTTTTGGGTTTCCCTTATGGCTTCCCCATTACGCATTTGCTTGGGAAAGGTTTCCACACCCTTATAAAGGGTGTTTCGTTCTCCTCCCCAACCAATGGATTGTGATATCCCACATTGGTTGGGGAGGAGAACGAAACACTCTTTATAAGGGTGTGGAAACCTCTCCCTAGTAGACGTATTTTAAAAACCTTGAGGGGAAGCTCGAAAGGGAAAGCCCAAAGAGGACAATATCTGCTAGCGGTGGGCCTGAGCCGTTACAATATATGAAGCTTCTTGTATGGTTGCTTTGGTGGGTCTGCACTGTTTTATTTGGTTCAGAAAATTTGCCAACTTCTAGCTGTTATACGTCAGGTACACAGTGGAGAATATGATTTTAATGGTGGTGCTGGTGTTGTCACTACGATTAAGCCGGGTGCTCAAAAGAAGGGAATCAACCGTGTTGAAGAAAATTCCCTTAAAGGAGAACATGGAGACGACTTAGTAGACCTTGAAGACAACATGACAACTCCTATAAAGACTACGCCAGTTAGACATTCCGAAAGATCTGCCGGAAAAGTATTCAAGTATTACCCGTTGCATATATTGTTACTGTGTGAATATTATATTATTACCAATAAGGCAGAAAGCAATAGGGTTTCTTGTCAGATAATTTTTTGCATCAAATGTCATTTCATCAGCTGTCCATTCTAGGATTGGTAGAATATTATGCCGCATGACCAAATTATATTTACATGTTTGGCACTTGATTTATGCTTTTAAAAGTTTGAACTTTAAAATCTATTTTTCAAAGAGTTCCACAGGGTTTTAGCTTGTCTTGGATTTTCTTAGGTGCGTTCTATAGGTTTGTGGTGTTTGCTGTTTTTTGAGGGGTTTGGTCGGGAAGAAATTGTCTTCAAGAAATTGAGAACTCTTGAGAGGAAGCGAGGGATCTTATTATTTCATAGCCACCTATTAAGCTTCTGATGTTTCTTGAAGCTGAGACTGCGATTGGAAATTAAGAAACTAGCCACTAAAATGTGTTACCATATCAAAGGAAAATACATAGGTTTACCAAGAATTCGAGAGGCTTACTGTTCCCTATAAAGCTCGTTAACTAATTATTAATATACCTCTTATAAAAAGAATTAATAATTGATAATACCATTACTAATATTCCTAGTTTTAAACATTTTTTCAATCATCTTATCATTTCTATGATCTTAGCTAATTGGGGAGCCTTTTTAACTTTGGCTTTTGGGAGGCTTTTGCCTTGAGTTATGTATCTTGTTAAAGAAGAAAATTAGTTTGGAATGTCCACGTTAAGTTCTTCACATTCATGGAGAAATTGCCACAACTTTGCACCATTGTGGTATCATTATATCCGTTTCTACAGTCCTCTATTCTTCCTAAACGTTGTAGGATCAATTTACGGTATGGGAAATTGGCAGAAGCAAACTAGAAATTGGGAAGGCTATCAGTACAAATAGCATCTAGATTGATGGCATTGCCCGTGTCGAGTAATAACTACACATACTCTAGGTAAAGTGGACGAATGAAACTGCATTGATCCTAGATGTTTCTTGAGCTCAACTACCTTAAGACCGTTCAGACTTTCAGATTCTTTCCCTTCATCATTCAGGTCGTGCTGATTGCTAGGCAGTAGTAAATTGCTTTGTATCTATAATTCTTACAAGGCTATACAAGCATGAACTAACCAACTGAATTATTGAATCCATTTTTTCTCAGGTTGGTAGACAAATAGTTTTTCTACAAGTTCACAGATCAAATATGAGTTAACTGCAACTTCTTGATTCCCGAATATTCCTATTCGTGTTGAAGCTTATTTCAGTTAATTCAAATGACCATGTTTTTGTGTTTCTGTCGAGCAAAATAATTTCATTGTTAAATTTATTTCCTTTTCTTGTCAAGTTTTGCAGAGGCTTCTTCTGAGGAGGATGAGTCTGCTGGCACTTGCGATGATTTGTCTGAAGGGGAAGAAAAGAATGTTGTCATACATGAACCTTCAATCGGAGATCATGCTAGTGAAAATGTCCTGTTCATAATTCTTGAGTAGTTTGTTTTAATTCATTTTCTTATCTCTGCAGCTTTCAATTTCTGTTGATTCAATCTTAACTTTCATGCTTGTTGCTCTTAATCGATTACTACAGACGGAAGATATCTCTGTTGATTCTAAAGATGTAGATGCTGTAGAAAAATCTCCAATTCTTCAAGGTGATCAAGAATCAATTTCTAAGACTAAAAGAAGTTCTCGGGCTAAGGGAAATGCTCAGAGTAGTAATCGTGGTATACTCGTCCAGCCTACATTGCATAGTTTGTTCAAGAAAGTGGAGGAGAAGGTAATATCTGAAGTCCTTCAATTAAATATGTTGAGATAGGTTGCGGTTTCGAATCCATTTACTGATGAAACTGCATAAATCTCTCGATCTTTCGCCAATAAATGCTCCAAAATGTCGTATCTTTAAGGTTCATATTTATTTACAATGAATGCCTACTGTTTTCAGAGGACACCAAGAAGGTCAAAGAGATCTTCAACATCTAAAGGTTCTAATTTTCGTCATTGATTTTATTATCATGATCATGGGAATACTACAATAACATCAAAATCTGAAATTTTGGTTTTCTACAGTTTTTGCCCAAAAGGTACAGCTTTCTGGTTCAAAGCGAAAGATTGACCAGGTGATACATCTTATAATTTTTTTTTATTCTCCGGGAAATAACCATAATGGATCGTTTTGTATTTTTCAGGACGAAGGATCAAGGAAAAGGAGGGTTGTCCGGGTTCAGGACGATGGTCAATCTCGCATGCTTTCTCTATTTACTTCAGTTATTTCTCAAACAGGCTTATATATTGTCATAATTAGCTTGCTAAGAATTTGTCACCTCTCTTGTATGCTGGTTCTCATGGAAATTCTAAATATGGTTGCTCTCGAAATTGTAGTAGATCTAATAGTAGTTTTTCAATTCCACAAGATAGACGTGCATTTTGTATTCTGACTAATTTTCGTTTGCTGTCTAATCGCTACATATAATACATACTTTTATGTTTCCAACCGACTCTACTAGCGGTAAGTACTTATATTTGGCATCGGTTCATGCAAATTTGGGTTCTGTAGTTACCTAGTGTAGCTTTATAATCACCCTGAGCTGATTGAGTTTATATATCGTGTTTACATTGTCAATTGATGTATAGCTGCTCTTTGAATTTGCAGGAGGAAAAGTCACGAGGAAGGATACAGAATATGAGGTATTAGTGCCATTTGTACAAATTGTTCTTTTAAATGATTTGTTGCGTTATTAACTTATGGCTGCAACGACCAGAAGTATCTTAATAGAAATGAACTTAGCTGCTGGTGGTTTCCAAATCAAACTAATCAAAATAGTATTAAGCTTCGGGCCAGTTTCAGATCCTTTCAAGAAAGCTGACTGTGTAGTGAAGAAACCGACTTCTCAAGAGACCAGTAAGCTCTGTCAACTCCTTCTCCCAGCCTAATCAAATTAATCACAGAAATCAAACCCAACCAGCTATATCAAACTCTCCCGATCATTCTGCTCCGCGTTCCAACACTCGGTGATCGTGGCTTCCTTCTTAAGAGAGATTGAAAAGGGCTGGAAAGCAAACACAAACAAATTGTTCCCCACCCACTTGTCACGCAGAACTGGATTCTTTCACCACAATTAACTTTAAAACTCACATGGTTGACTAACAGAACACTTTTTTTAGCAATCTCCACCACCCAATGTCTAGATTTGGAGGCACCTTTAGGAGCAAGGGATAGCCACCCGAGGGGCTCACAGCCTTAAAGACTCGCGATTTCTCTTCTCCACAGAGCGTTTTCTTCTCGAGTGAACCTCCACAGCCATTTTAAGGGGGTCGTTTGTTTGCTTCATGGACCTTATGCCGAGACTCCTTAACAAATTTCTCACTAGAGTGAATCTTAGTGGCCATTCCTTCTTTTGTCGAAGGCTCTAGAAAACTTGATGAGTGTGGCATGAAATGGCTGACGGATTAGATCATTATATACTAAATATGGCTTATCTATATCTTGTAGGTTGAAGATGACATTGAAGAGTTGTCGAGCTCTCAAGAGGTAAGTGTTCACTACCTATTTATTATATAGCCATCTACATACTTCTCCCATGATTTCCAGAATATTGGATTGGAAGTTAGTTGGGCCATAGGTTTGTACTCATTTTGGAGTCTGATGTAATTATTTGGCTGAACTACTCTTTTGCTACTAATTATTTGGCCTAACCCCTACCCCATGTAATCTTCTTATTTTCGTGCCTCGCACCATGTTTGTCGAAAAGTCGTCATTTCTATATTGGATAATTATCTATTTCATGTAAAGTTAAGAACATAACATGTTCTCCACATGCCTAAATATAGTTTTAACTGACCATATTCCTTGAGTTTCTTGTATGAATATTAGATTAGGATCTTGCACAGTTTTACTCACAATTTTGCTTGTCATTTAGGACACTGATGAAGATTGGACAAGTTGAGGTCAATACATTCTACAATTGGTAAGCCACAGCAGCAGCTAGGATGCATTGCAGAGGTTATTATATTCGAAGTAAGAGAATGCTCTACCAGTTTCTTTGAAAAGCTGCTGGCTTACTGAAATTAAAGGAATTTAACCATAAAATAATATTAAAGTCGAGTTTTTATCATACTGTTAGTCATGTAAAAATTCTGTTTTTGATATACCAGAGAGAAACTGTTACCCTTTTCTTGGGTTTAGAGGAAATTTTCAGCTTAAAAGTACAAAAGTATCCACAAGATTTGTATGCAATTTATAAACTCTCAATCGTCTGTACTGTATGTATGTATTATGGTATTATGAAATTTTCTATATTTTATGTTAAATTTAGACCTCAACAATATTTACGAGTACTATTAGATATTAAGATCTGATAGTATATCAAGTAATGAGGTAATTTCCACAACATCTTGACCAACAATTTCTTCTCCATTTGAGGGTCCAACCCATACAAGGGTCTATTTGACAAACTATTCATGTCTGTGTTACATGAAGTTGCTTTTAAACATTAAGCTACTCGTCCAATTGGCCTCTTCTTCGATTGTTGCTTGGGCAATAGCAGCAAACTACAGGCTCGAGAGACCTCTGTGCTTGAAAGAAAGAAAGAAGGGAAGAGCTCTCTAACTTACGCAATCGGTAGAACACAGAGGAAGAACCTACTTGATTTCTACAAGCTCGAGAGACTTCCTTACCTTAAAGACAGAAGGAAAGAGGTACTCTCGGACTTACGCAATTAGACACAGGGGAAGAACGTACTTAACTTTTTTATTTCGTCCTTTACATATGCATTTAGAGTGTGTATAAAATTTTATTGGATGATTACAATATTTGAAAACGTAAGCTAATCAAAAGACTATCCTATCCAAGAGTTCGCAACACTAAGAAGTTGAACATGACATGAATTCAAAACTCAAAACGAAAGTAAACTTCACATGTACATAAATAAATTTCTGTCTTTTTTTTTCACTGTTCTATGCAGCATAAATACATGACACAACAAGACCATATGTTTCATCATTGTCTGGTAAAATTTTACCTACTTCTTCCACTTTCTATCTACCGATCAACAGAATGAACCCTGGCCCTCCAATGCCCCAAAGAAACTAAAATAAGAGGCTGTTCTATAACATCAACAAACCAAAAGGAGGACGGAGCCTATAGAGATGAATTTAGCTACCACAAAGCTACAGAGAAATTAAAAAAAAAAAAAAAAAAAAAAAAAAAAAAAAAAAAAAAAAAAAAAAAAAAA